GCTGAGGAACATAATCTAAAAACCCTTGCACTCCTGGAACCACCATTTTCAACACACAGGAGATGGATCACAAATGTTAATCAGTACAATAGACAGTATGTTAGATGTGACAAGTTCCGTGAGAAAAATGAAGCCGAGACAAAGAATAGAGTGTTCAGGGTTGTGATGTTAATTAGCATGGTCCCGGGAGGGGATACATGAGCCAAGACCTGAAAGAGGGGGAGAGTGACTTGTGTGGAGAGGAAAGGGCCATGCAGGCGCTGGCAGTCTCCCCTGGTTTCAAGGGCACACAGTGGCAGAGGAGGGGAGATCCCCCTCTGCTGGATGCTTGGGTTTGGGGAGAGAGATATAAAATCAAAGACCTGCAGATTCATCATCTCGCTGCCATTTATTGAGCCCTGTTACTGGCCGAGTTCTGTTCCAAGTGTCACCACAGTGCCATCTCAACAATCCCCCAATAACCTTAGGAGGTTGGCCCTTGGACTAGTCTCATTGAGTAGATGAGAAAACTGAGGCTCAGGGAAGTCATGTGACTGTCCAAGGTGACACAGACCATGACAGAGCCCTGATTGGAACCCAGACTTCTCAGGTGCCAAATCCCACACTCTGAAAACTTCGAAGTCTCTCAAAAATGGGGTGAGGGGAGCAGCCATGAGTTATTAAACCTGGCCCTACATTGGGGAGATTTGAATTCGGTCCCCCAAGTTTCCCTCTGGAAGGTAGCCTCTAGGTCACAGCTTTCTGGGAGGTTTCTTCCTCCTGAATTTTCCCTCTCTCTATATTTAGGGGTTCTCTGTTTTCCACAAATCTAGGCACCTAGCGGGTACTTGGAGTCTCCATGGGTCCAAACCAAGTTCTGTCTACCATCCTGCCTCCCCTAAGAAGTCTTCCCTGATTGAGCCCTTGATGTCCGGTGGCTGCTGCTCTCTCTGCCCAGTCCTGATGTTGAATATCTCCTTAGCCCCGTTTCCCTAATTGCCCCCTCTCAGGGACTAGATTGTGTCTCTCCTACCCCCTAATCCATGTGCTGAAGTCTCAAGCCCCCAGTACCTCTGAATGTGACTGTGTTTGGAGAGAGGGCCTTTAAGAGGTGATTAAGATAAAATGAGGTCGTACGGATGAGTCCTAATCCAGTATGACAGGTGTCCTTATAAGAAGAAATTAGGACAGGGACATACACAGAAGGAAGACCCTGTGAAGACATAGGAGAAGGTGGTCATCTATAATAAGCCAAGGAGAGAGGCCTCAGAAAAAAGCAACCCTGCTGACACCTTGACCTCAGACCTCCAGCCTCCAGAACTGTGGCACATTAAATTTCTGTTGTTTAAGCTCCCGGTCCGTGGTATTTTGTTCTAGAAGCCCTAGCAAACGAATGCACCTCCTTTCCACTTTTCCAAATCTCTGCTCTGGATGCACAAGCAGTGCCTCATGGGCTCTCTCTCCCCGGCTAGGAGCACAGCGAGCCCCCACCTCCTGGCGTTACTGGCCTGGGTCTCAGGGAATAGAGGTCAAGGTCGCTGGCTCGCCCCAGCCACAGGCCGGGCTGACATTCCCATTCGCTGACAGCCCATCAAAGCAACATTCCCCCAACTGACACCGCAATATGAAGCTATTCCGCCACGCTGCCCTTCTGACACACAGGCATTCCGCCACCCTGTCATTCTGATCTGTCGGCTGTCGGCCTCGCTTACAGCTCGCCCCAGCAAAAGTCCACAAAGCTGACACTCAGAGGCAGGGGCGGGCCGCAGCCCCGCTCCTCCCTGGCCACGTTCTGCCACACTGACAGCCGGCCCCGTGGACACTGTGGGCGCTCTGTTACACTGACCTCTCCCTGTGCTGGCCTTCCTGCTTGTCATAATGTCAGGGTCAGCCAGCCTTCCCGCCCACCAGCTGATGAGAGTTCTGTGCGTTTATCTCTTTCTCTGTGTGTCACTAACATGGTCCTCCCACCTGCCCTCCACTCCTTGCCTCCATTCTGCTCATCCTCACCTGTAACCCTCAGCACTGACCTCGCCCCACGCAGCCCCCTCCCGATTGGACCTGTGATGCCTACCCTGAAGCTTCTTTTAAAAACATTGTTTATTTATTTATTATTGTATTATTTAATTATTTTATTTTGGCGGTGGGGGGGGTTATTAGGTTTGTTTATTTTTAGAGGAGGTACTGGAACCCAGGACCTCTTGCACGCTAAGCATGTGCTGTACCACTTGAGCTGTACCCTCCCCCCCATACTAACTGCTTCTTTAGCCCAAATGAACTAGACATATTTTAGGCCGCTCACACCACCTCTGGGGAAGCACTGGCTTCCATCCCTTGCCGAGTGTGCCGAGGGCCATGTGAGCTGCCCTGAAACAATGGAGGCCTTTCCATAGGTTGGCTACAGGCCATTGAACTTTTTTTTTCATGTATATATATTTTTATTGACGTATAGTCAGTGTACAATGTTGTGTCAATTTCCGGTGTACAGCATAGTACTTCAGTCACACATGAATATACGTATATTCATTTTCATATTCGTTTTCACCATAAGCTACTACAAGATATTGAATATATTTCCCTGTGCTATACAGTATAAACTTGTTGTTAATCTATTTTATATATATTAATTAGTATCTGCAAATCTCCAACTTCCAATTTATCCCTTTCCACCCCCTCCCTCTGCTGGTAACCATAAGTTTGTTTTCTACGTTTGTGAGTCTGTTTCTGTTTTGTAAATAAGTTCATTTGTCTTTTTTTTTTTTCAGATTCCATATGTAAGTGATATCATACGGTATTTTTCTTTCTCTTTCTGACTTACTTCACTTAGAATGACATTTTCCAGGTCCATCCATGTTGCTGCAAATGGCATTATTTTATTCTTTTTTATGTCTGAGTAGTGTTCCAATGTGAAGAAGCCATTGAACTGTTTTTAGTCACCACATTTCTAACACCAAATATGTGGACTCTTCCAATGCTAAACACCAATTCTCTGTTTCTCCAACACCTGCTGGGTGTCCAATCATTTAATTCAATTCTGACGCTAAATACCCAGAGTTAGCATCAGACCCCACAAAATAAGGGTCTCAGTCCCACAAGACTGCTCCCCAAATCCCCACTTTAGATACTGGTTGCAAGTTCTGGGCTTCCTGTACTTCTGAATGTTTGGCTGTAAGTCAGAGGTTCCCATGACCCCTCCTCAGGTTTGATAATTTGCTAGAATTATCACAGAATTCAGGAAATCATTTTATATACACTTACCAAATTATTAGAAAGGATACAACTCAGGGACAGCCAAAGGCAAGTGCTGTAGGGGGCAAGATCTGGGGAAGGGGCTAGAAGCGTCCATGTCTTCTCTGGGCTTGTCACCCTCCCAGGACCTTGACTGACCAGCTCGGAAGCTCTGCAAACCCAGTTGCTCAGGATTTTTTATGGTGGTTTCTTTATGCTGGCATGATTGATTAAACCACGGCCATTAGTGATTAACTCAATCTCCAACCCCTCTCCCCTCCCTGGAGGTTCTGGAGTAGAGCGTGTTCCAACCCTCTAATCAGGCCTCGGTCTTTCAGCAACCAGCCCCCATCCTGCAGCTCTCTAGGGACTGCAGCTATCAGTCATCTCGTTAGCATACAAAAGACACTCTAAATACTCGGAGATGCCAACGGTTTTAGGGGCTGTGTGCCAGGAACCAGGACAAAGAGCAAATATTTACTTTTTATTATATCATGCCCATGCATATGTATAATTTCAACAAATCCCCTTTTCCCTGAAGTAATGAATGAGAGTCTATCTGTTGTCGCTGAAAGATCCCCGGGTGGTCGTTTCCTGTACTGACATCCAGTATCTCCCTTAGCCTTTACTTACTCCCTCTACCCATCCCAGCAACTCTGGGTTCTGAGCTCAGCTGCTCCACGTACTAAATTGTGTGAACTTGGGCAAGCCCCACTCTGCCTCTGAGTCTCAGTTCCCTCATCTACAAAATAGAGATGGTACTGACAGTACCCCCTCCCACGGCGTTGTTGTGAGAAGCCAATGGGACATGCGTGTGTGGATGGAAATAAAATGGACAACCTAAAAGCTGAGAGTTATGGTTTAATCGGCAGAATTTCTGAGAACTCAGCCCAGGATGACAGCCTCTCTGATAGCTCTGAGGGACTGACCTCTGAAGAGGTAGGGAGGAGCCAGGATATATAGGAGTTTTTACAACAAAGACCAAGTAGTCGGAACATCAAAAGATTACTGTTTATTAAAGAAGACCAGATATCTCAAGTTAAAGAATCGAGCGCTTTTTTATGTACGGGAAAGTGCAAAGGCCTGGGTTCACTGAAATCGTTCCTTTGACATGCACCTAGCTATGTAGGACCAGTATCCTGTTCTTGCACATCCTGATTTCCCTCAGGGTGAACCGTTGGGGTGGCTGCAGAATCTGGGCTTCCTGCTTGTCTGCAACCTGAGTTCCTTCTGCTCAGCGTCAGGGTTGGTGGAAGCGGCTGATGACTTGATGGCCACAGCATTCTTTGTTTACTGATACGGCTTGCAATATTTTTCATTCACACACATAAAACATAGAGTGAGGGCTTGGCGTAGAGTAAGTGCTCCATAAACAGGGCAGCAATTTCAGGCTCTGGGGCCAGATGCTGGAGCTCAACTCCCTGGGTTCATGTCTAGGTACCACTACTTCCTAGCTGCGTGACCCAGGGAAAGTGGCTTCACCTCTCTGGGTGTTCTATGTAAAATAGATGTATCAATGGTATTTACCTCTTAGAATCACTGTGAGAATTAAACGGCTTAAGATTAGAAGGGCTTAGATCAGTGTCTGGCATTGAGTAAATTCTATACAAGTCTTAGCTATGATTGGCCCTATTATTATTAGTTATATTAGCATCATGTAGATTGTTAGTTATAGTTACACGAGTGTTAGCTGCTGTTGCTCACCCAGGCTTCCTGCAGTTGACGCCATGCCAGTGGTATCCTTCAGCACACTAATGGCTCACAGATGCTGTGTTCCTCTTTGTCCATCCCAGCGCCTCTGTCCTGCTGTAGTGTCCCACCTGGTCGCCCGTTCCCTTCTGCCTGGGCGCTCTTCCCATCTTCACCTGGACAATCCCCTGCGTGCTTCTGATCTCAGGCCACAGGCTGCTTCCTTAGGGAAGCCTCTCGCAGTCCTTGGTAAGTCAGTCCCTGTTACACGCGCTCAGGAGACCACGTGCCTCTTGTACGGCGCACTGATTATCATTTTACCTCTATTTCTGTGATTGTCTGATTCAAGTCTGTCTCCTTTCTTGACGATAAACTCCCTGAGATCACTGATGTGTCTGTCTTTTGCTCACGTTTTTACTCTCCGTGCTGATGCTCCGCAGGCGCCCAGTACATATTTGTTGAACGAAAGAGTGAATGAATGAATGAGTGAATACATGCATGAAGGCCCAGTGCCCCGGTCTTCCTCCTGGTCTTCCTGGGCTGGGGACCTTCTCCTGGGGGGCTGCATCAGAGCTGGGCTCTCAGTCCATTCCCTGATGTCATTCTGTGAGCTCCCCAGTTGAGGGGAGGAGCAAGTGGGATTCATAACTAGACATACAGGTTGGATGCAGCCAGAAAGGTCCCAGCATCCATGTTTCCAGCTGTGTGTGGGCAGCAGACATCCTCATCCCAAGGTGGCGCTCCATCACGCCTCCTGTTTCTGGGCGGTCTTCCTACTATACTCACCCACCTTCTCTGGCTAAATCTTCTGACTTTAGACGCTCTCTAGGATGGCTCTGTCTTCCTAGAAGTATCTTGCTAGCCTGGGGGGGGGGTGTCTGGAGGCCCTGACTCCACCAGTCAGTCTTGAATTGAAATTCTGAGCATGGCTGCCTGGTCCAGCCATCATCGCGCCTGCACTGCTTTGGGGAGGAGTGGATTCTAGAGACCCTCCATCCTCGCCTGTTGATGTGCTGGCTGAAGCCCTGATTTCCATGTCCCTCTGGGTTGTTTGAGCTTGAGTACTAGTCTCCTTATCCACCCACCCCATGGAGTTGGATCCCTGCACAGGACCTAACAGGGGTCAGAGTGTGTTTGTGGAGTAAGTGAGTTTGAATTCCAGCTCTGCCACCAACTTTCTGAACTTGGGCAAGTTGTGTCACTTCTCAAACCTCTGTTGTTTCACTTAAATTCCTGCTTAGCTTCTGGTGAGGTTCCATCTAGCAAGAGAGATGATGAAGGACATTTGGAAACAGTGAATATGGAAGCCATTTGTCTCCAACCTGACACTTGCCCCAGGCCCTCTGACACCTTACTGGATTCTAGGTCATTGTCCACTCTTTCTCCTCCTTCTCTCTTGGACCTGGCCCAGTCTTCATCCATGTCCTGGATCCTGCCCTCCCCATCCGTTAAGCCCCCACCCATCAGTGTGCTTCCAATGTGTTATTTTATGCACAAACATGTTTACATTCTTCTACCTACAAGACAACTTGAACCATGAAGTCCCTTGAACATAGCACCTCCCTCTTCACACACATGGCTTACCTTCTCTTCATGGTCAAATTTCGAGAAGGAATAGTCTAAACATAGTTAATCAAATCCTGGCTCTCCTTGCAGTTGCATGCCTTGGGCAAGTCCCTTAATCTCTCTGTGACTCAGTTTCCTCATCTGTAAAGTGGGATTAATAATGTTTACCGTACAGGGATGTGAGGAGGGTCAAGTGAGATGACCCACGTGGAACAAAACAGTGCAGTCTGACACATGGGAAGAGCTCATTAAATATTTAGTGGCTATTATCATTGTTGTTTATCTCCAATGTTATCCTCAGTCTGCTACAGCTGAACTCCCTCCCTGCCCTGAACAAAACCGCCTCTCGGTTGAATCACCAGTGATGTTACAGTAGCCCTTTCCCATCTCTCTTCCTCCCAGCTTCTCCGCAGTCTTTGACAGGGCAGTGGGGATTCTCAGGGAGAGGTGGGAGGCTCCTGAAGTCCTGCAGCGAATGTCAACCTGTGGCCGAGGGAAGCTCGTGGGACAGCCCCACAACGAATAGCAGGGCTGATATGGGGCTTGTCATGTCCTTGGTGCTCAATTTTGTTGAATGAATAGAAGGTCCCTCCAGGAGGGGCTCTGAAATTAAAGGCAGTAGGACTTCCATGAGTTTCAGCATGTTTGGAAATTGTGCTGGGCTGAGGATTGGTCATTTCAAGGCTGTTCTAAAGGAATTTGGACTGGCAGCCCCTTGAGGGCAGGCACCATTTGTTTTATGTGACTGGCACAGAGTAGCACCCATAATTTTCTATTAAATACACAAGAATGGGGGTAAAAATCCTCCCTCACCCCACCACCCCATAGAACCAGCACACAGCCCTGTCTGTGCAGTTATGATGAAGAACAGGGAGTTAATGCTTCTGCGGGGTAAGCTCACAGCTCTGTCTCTGCAGTTCTG